CAAAATCTAAATTCTTACTGGCTCACACAATGAAAGTGTATTTCTTACTTGAGCACAGTGTACTGAGATTTGGGGTAATTGTTTGGAATGGTAATCCAGCAATGTTGGCTTCTTCCATCTGTGGCCACTGTCTGCTGACATGCTTCTACAATCACCACAGCAGGGGACCACTGGAGAAATTTGTTCCAGCAATCAAGCATTTTGGTCTGGAAGTCATATCTGTCACTTCTTCACATAAGCCACTGGCCAGAAGTAGCCAGATGTCCCGCTGCAAATGCAAGGAGTTGGACTGTGGGAAAATGGGTCCTCCCATGGGCTCAGCAGAAGAGGAAGTGAAATACACTTAGAAAGCTCAGCATGTTGTCACTGATTTGACCTAAAACCAATTTCTAAATCCTTCCATGGAACAAGGGAAGTAGTTTGTCCCCCTCTGTATGATATAAATTCCACAAGAATGGAGAGCGTTTGAACTTTTTCCTAATTTCCCACATTAATAGTTTGCATATTGTCTACTTGCCATTTCATATCTGAAAATTAATCTCTGTGTGGCTGTATAATCAGAAGATAACAATATAATAAATACAATAGAAAATTTATGAAAACAGTGGAGACAAGAATGGCTTTATTCCAATCATAAAACACTTCATTTTGTGTAAGGGGAGCTGTCCCTTGCATATCAGGATGATACTAGTGACTGCTCAAGTGTTCTCGAGCCGCTTTTCCTCTGGTGAAGACTGATGTCTTTTGTCTCTTTCTTGCTTGAAAGGAGATGTTCCTCACTGAGGCTGCTGCTCTACAGGATCAAGGTCAGAGTCTCATACTCTGGAAAAAATCTTCTTTGCCACATTTGCCCATATAAATCCATAAGCCATGAATTTGACTTTTTTACCCATCATTTGTGGAACTAAATTGTATCAGTACATAAAATACTACATTCTAAATTATAAAAAACATATACAGAATGAGATATAAATAAGGTTATACTTAAGAGCTCTGTGTAACAGTGAGTCTAGAGGTTAAAAATACTGAAAAATGTATGGCTCTTCAGGAAAACATCTTTCTTGGGCTCACAAAATATATTTTTCCATTCAACTTTGTAATGGTTGATCAATTTTTTCTGCAGTTGAACCAGCTATTAGCTTTCAGGAGAGTCAAAATTCTCTTTGTTTTAGGTTCAAATTTGTATTGTCTTGTTCCACGAAAGAAATAGAAGAATCCTAGAAATAAAACAAAAGAGACTTACTACATTATACAAGTAGTTTCTAGGTTTAACTTGAATTCTTGAGAAACCAATTCACTTGTTAGCACAAATATTTTTGGCATTTGTTGTTCCAGCTAAGAAAATGGATGCTATTACCATGGCAACATAATGGAGGAAATACATAGGTAGTCACTTACCGTCTTTCTTGAAAACAGCATCAATTTTGTGGCCAATTCCAGGAAAGTCGTGTGCTATCATTTTGGGATAACCTGCATCCATGGATTGTTCATATTCATCATACCTGGTCAGAAAAGAATTAGGAGTGTCAGAATCTTTTGTTAAACATGCAGATTTTTCAAAATCATTGCAGGAAACATGCCATCAGGAATTTGACCAAAATTTTAAATTCTGTAGATCACTTGTAAAATGGGGAGTAGATGAGTTGAAGTAGAATGTTGGGTAGACTAAAAGTTTTATAGGATTCCTTTGAAATCCAACATCCAATTCTCTAGTGGGTTCCACACTATGTTCTATTAAGGTAAAATGTTATGAAAGCTAAGTTCCTTTTGGATGAAGTCGTTCTGTTAAAAAGAATGCCCTCATTTTTACATCTTTTTAAAATTCAGCCCCACATGCTCCCTGCATTCCCAGCTCAGGCATTGTGGGCTGATAATTGGTCAATAGACTAAATGGATGATAGACTGGCTCCAGCCCTTCACAGAAGAGGATGCTGACGAAGGCAATTTGAGACTCATTTTGAAATGGTTCAATCTAAAACTTTCTAGGGAGAAAGAACTGGTGCCCTAACACTGTCTGCATTTGGTCTTTACCTCCAGTATTTGTTAGCAACAAAGAAGTATGTTTTTCCAGTATCTTCCTCAGAAACAGCAGCATTGATATGCTTCACAGTTCTAGGGAAGCCAAAGGATCTGTAGATGTCCTTGGGGTAACCAGGTAGCACATTTTGCCCCTGAACAGCCCAGTACTTATTACCTGCAAATCAAGAAACAGTGATGAAAATATTTCCCCAGGGTTCCAATAGATGATAAGCAGATTTCCAGCTAAGTTCTTAGTTTTACAAGAGCAGTGCCCTGGCTGCAGATTAGAACCATCTAGTGAGGTTATTGAAAATACTGATGCCAGGATCCTATCCTAGACCAATTATAGGAGTCTAGTTTTTGAAGCTTCCTAGGTGATTCTAATCTGCAGGAAGCTTTAAGAATGACTGGTTTATAGCTGAGGACTTCTTTCAAAAGCCAGATGTTCAAATGACCAAAGAGTTTGTCGTGCCACCTCAGTGATATAAACTTTACCTCTCCAGGTTGCCCATGTACTATGGATATTCGAACCAATGGTATCCCAAAGGGTAGAACGTTATAATGACTTATAACCCGTAGTGACTTGCAACTCTGGATTCAAATCATTGCATTTGACTAGAACACACTTCCAAGTACTTGGATTAATGCTGTATCCAGATTCTATGTTTATATTCAGTAAGCCCCTCATCACGTAAGGCTGCTCTTATATACTGAGGCCAGGATTGCTCTTATTGCACAAATATGCTTATTTACCCATTATGAAAAAGGAATTTGAAACTTTGCGTATCTAAAGTCCTATTTAATTTCATTATTTGAAGACTAGAAATCCTATTTCAAAGTGTTTTGCTCATCTGAACTGCATTCAATTTTTTGCCTTGAGTGTGTGGCTGGGTCAAGCATCCTGTCTGTGCTATGCCAAACATATATTTGCAAAAGTACTTGTGTTTGGCATAGTGTCTTCAAAGCCAGGAGCTGGTCATTGGATTGTGTTTCATTCTGATAGAATCAATGAAGCCAGTCCCATTCAATTCACAGTAATTCAGGACTTCTCATACTTTGATGTGCATATGAATTGCCTGGGAAACTTGATAAAATTTAGATTCTATTAAAGAAGGCCTGGAGTGGGACCTGAGATTCTGTATTTGTAACAGACTGCC